ATGGCTTTTCCTCCGTGATCAAGGCTTGGTGATGAGTAGGGCTCTGACCCTAACATCTGATCTGATCGTGGTTAGCTTCATGATAATGGTGATAGGGGAATGTGTTGAGAGATGAAGACGATAGAGACCGCGAAAGCGATTGGGAATCCTCGTCGAAGTGAGGACTTTGATACTCAATCTCGGCTCTGTAGACTCTACAGTGAGAGCTGGAGGTTCGTAGGGGACTCCAATGAAAGGTGTTGAGAATAGCCCCCCGAGGACAAGGGTTTCTTGTGCAAATCGCGGCAATAATCACTATTTGTGGCGGAACGTTGCATGCGGGAGCTACCAGGTAACAAGAAGAGTGTGAAGAAGGCTCAGACAGAGCTTCTCACCCGAATAGTAGATATACGGATATCAAAACCAGCTGATGCAACAATATAAACGGTCAGAATGACTAATGACTAGAGTATCACTAATGTCAGCAAAAAGAAGACTGACGAGCTAAAGTGAGGCCTGCAGGTCCTAGAAAGAATGTTGTGGCCGAGGCGACAACGCTAGTGCAGCGGTAGAGACATGACTGTCGGAGCCGTTCCTTTGCACACTTTCACAACTTGAGCCTGACGATGAGGTGCTTTCAATTGGTAAACTTTCCCGAGGTGGACTAATCGATAGACGAAACAACGGAAATGGCGGAAATGGCTACGAGCCAATGGTTCAAAGGAGTCTTCTCCGCACTGAGCTAGGTCGTGTCACAGTGGCGGGACGTTGGTTTTTGCCCCAAAGACTCTCCCTACACAATATGGCCACCGGACATCGTGCGCTTATATTTAGAAGCCGAGTTAGACAAAAGGTAAGAATTTATTATTTAGCTGGACACACAGCAAATGATTCAAGAAGAAAAAACCGTCACAATTATCCAAGCACAGATGTTATATTAACTAGGCTATATTGGAGCAGGACAATGGATACTCTTGGGCAAGTTATGCTCACAGTAGGTCTCTATAGTCGCTGTTGCGTGTGTTCTCGTGATATGTAAGACTTGAATCTATATTCTCGTATAAAGGAAACTTAGTTACAACGAATGGATGGAGGTTGAGACCTCCTTATATCTTGCTCTAGACTTACTGTGTTGTTCACAGCCTAGTGCTAGAACATTCCCTTATGATATCATTTCTCTCCTACGAGAAATAACCAGATCGTTCTCTCTCAGTCTATCAGTCTCCCGCTGATTCTATTATCTCTATTCCATCGAGTTTTAGTTTGGTCCATAATACCCACACATGCATAACACACTAAACACCCCACGGTTTAGTTCCACAGTCACGTGCATCTGCTATGGCGTGACCTAAAGCATGTACCATGGTAAGTTGCATGGATAACACAACATTAAGGGCTTGAGTATCCCTGGCTTAAAAAATGATAGTCATTTAACTTGAATACTACTCATGTAAGACGAGTAAATGTCTAGATATGCAGTAAATCTGTCGGAATGATTTATGTAGCTAGAGTTATTTGCAGCCGGTGATTGTTGCATCGCAGCGGCTAGTTCTCCTGATTTGTGGATTCTGACATTCGGATAGTGCTTTATCCGATTGTAAGCTAGTCAGCAATTCCATAGCATCAACTCAGAACAACACGAATAACTTTAAATTCGCATTTCTTCTGAACAATAGTTCGAACTACTCACATGAGTACTCATAACTTTAAGTGAACTAATAGACTTTTAGTGCATGACCTTTGCTATACCAACAACATCATTATTTTCTTATACCAAATAATCAAAAAACTTCTCCCTGCCTCTTGAATTTTATTTCATTATCCTGATTTGGCTCCCTATGGGCCCATGCAGGTGTCCACAATCTATAATATTTACTCGGGAGGAAACCTTCAAGGTGAAAACCCCCCACACCTTTCTGCCTGTGACTTTTTTGCACGCGAGCCGCTTGTTGGGGATAATGAGTAAGTGTTTATTGTCCTAAAAAGTCTACAACTATGTAAGAACATGTAGGTCCTTTCTGCCTACAGGCCGGGAGTATCTATGCCTCGGGTAGTGTACTCCCTTCTTTGCCTCCCTCACGACTTCTTTCCAGCAGTAATACCTCCACAGGTCTTTATTCGAGTACACACTAAGAGGAGCCGTTATCCCGTCATTATCTCACCTCTCCAGCCAACGAAACGATGGCCATTTGCGGGTGTGTAGCTGCTGGGAAAAGTCTCAAAAACCACTGGGTGCGGTGCTCTCCTATGACGAAGAGGCCGGACAGCCGGGCGCAGCAGACCTGTGTATAACTGAGAGCGTCTCTCAACCTTCCTAGCCTCCTCCTTACTCCTCCCCTGATTCATGTCGCAGGACAAATCGAAGGTCGTGAAAGGATGTCAGAAAAGTCTTGGTCGAGAGTGACTGTCGTGAAGGAGCCTAGCCTAGCATACAAAAGTCATTACGGACATGGGGTTGTCGAGTAACTCATGTATTTCAGATGCCCTCCTGGCTAGTAGATTCGGAAGTTATGATTAGTAGGGACGATAATACGGACGAGTCGAAATCTGATTTTCTTGAGGCCGGAAGGGTCTTTTACTTCGCTTTCGTGGGCTTTTTGTTCGCCCGCCGGTGGGTAGCACATGTTGTGATATAACGAGGGCTTCTCTGACTACCGTTGTAGCGTTTGGTACCGCATTATCTTTCCTCATTTCCAGCATCATGATCGTCGTCTTGGTCGTCTTATGTGTTATCGGAAGCGTATCTTTAACAGAGGGGGAGATAACTCAGCTCAAAGTTGATAAGGTGTTACTCAATCTCGGCTCTACAGACTCTACAGTGAGAGCTGGAGGTTCTTAGGGGACACCACTGACAGGTGTTGAGAATAGTCCCCCGCTTGTTGGGGATAGCCGGGGCGCAAACGAGCATTCACGCTCTTGCGACTGATCTACGCCAGCTCCAAGGGCCATGGACCATTTTTAATCCCGGAGCCTCGGCCCAGGACGCCAAGTAAATAAACGGTATCGAAGGGGGGGGGCAGGTCTTAAATAAGAGGGTCTCCCCATATATGATGTGCTATTCGCAAATCGCAAATCGGGTAGGGCGTGAGGGAAGCCCGACTACGAGACCTATTTGTCCCCGCACATGGGAGCGGGAAGACAAAATATTCGTACATCTAAAAGTACCCGAATCGCGGCAACAAGTTCGTGCTAGCCTGATTTACATCCAACTACTTCGTCACAGGGCCTGGCCCTAGTGGCTTGTTTTCCGAGGCTTCAGGACTCGTCCTGGTTTGTCCAAAACATGCCCCTCGGCATGGACACGCTAATTTAAGCGGAGCGGAACAAGCCCTTTCTTCGCCGGAAGAATCTCTACCCGAACCCGAACTAGCCTTATTCAGGCTCTTATTCAAGACAAATTGCAGAGGGTGCTTTGTATCCAGCCAGTATACTCACAGACAGGGTTGGATGGTGCAGTGGTACACCATCCGGGCCGTTCTCTCAAGTAGATATTGGGTAGCTTTAACACCCACCCCATTCGAGACAGGAGAAAGATGGTTCGAATCCAGTAAAACCCACACACCACACTCTCTCGCGGTGAATTTGTACTTGTGGGATGATGAAAGCACACTCGGATAGCCACAGGGTTTTCACACTTTTCCCTGTGTTGGGTATGTACGGAAGAGTTTATACGCTGTAAGGGTCAACCTCGAGTCGTATCTGCAAATGAAATCTGAGTGTGAGTGTTCTAATCGTCAAATTGAGTCATCCTACTTAAAGTACATATCTTCCGATAAAAACCTGCACGGGCCTCATGGCGCCAAATCAGGATAATGAACTATAAATATATGTATAGACTCACAAAAAAATGTTTAATTACGGCGTGGTGTCCAAAGCCCTTACAATGTGAGATTTTGCCCCACGCTCAAACCATTACCAAGGGTAGCCCCGTAAGGCGACCTTCAGCCTGCCACTCTTCCTAGTAGCGATTCTCACACGGCTCCACTAACGCCGTTAACTTCAGTAGCATGATGTAGCCTGCAGACCTCACGGGAACAGCGAACATCATCTGAGAAGGACTGCCAGCTTGGTTGAAGGGCCACCGCTCTCAATGGCATTTAAAGCGCAATAATTATGGTTTAAATCAATTTTTGTTTTCCATCGGACCCTTAGACTATCTAGGTCAGACAAGGTTTTGCTAATTTTAGATTTTAATTATATATTCCCCATATCCATCAGGTCCGTAAGGCTAGTAAGTTGGATATCTGGAGGAATCACGAAAGTGCCAAGTCTTGGTATCAAATGCAACCAGATTATTTGGGATGTAGATCTCAGAAAGCCAGGGTAAGGAATTGCTGCTGCGATGCCAAGTGGAAATGTTGATGTTAAGTTAGACCAAAACTTAAGGTGTCACCGAATAGGTTTACGAGCTGTAATATCGAAATCAGTAATCAAAGTCTATCCTGATTTTCTAAAATAATGAAAATACGAGAGTCGCCCTAAGTTGTGCATGACAAGAGTTCGTCACAGAACGATATTTTACTGGGGATAAATAAGCGGGCTGGGCACCATTAACACCAGGTGATCTCAAGAAAAGTATAATCCTGTCTCCGTGTAGTAATATTATTCAAGGAACACTCTCAACAAGAACTCGAGTATGTCATAAATACATAGCTAAGTACAGTATGATTTTTTAAAAAAAATCAAGAGTACTCGAGTAGTTTCTATTCTCTTGTAGAGCTAGCTAAGTTATGCTCGCGGAATAGAAGCCGATTACAAGACCAATTTCTCTCGGTCTCTTATCTGTCAAATATAACTACTCAATCACTCAAATAGGTAGTTGTGTCTCGAAGACGAGGGTTTCCTCCATATTCGTAAAGATTGTTGCTAGGAACCTAATGAATAATCCGTTGTTTGCACGCTCTGAAAGAATGGGAAACTTTGTAATATTCTCCTCCTAGACACTTCGTTTCCTCGCATTGGCATTGCAAAACATCTCTTCATAGCGACTTCAAAAACCAGCCTCAGATTTGTGAATATTCTCATTGTACAGAGATAATTTGACTACCCTCCCAAGTTTCACCTGGTCCGAGCTCAATCCAGCCATTTATAACGCCAACTTCGACACAAACCATATTCTTATATCCTTCGCACGGCTCAAAGTCCGACAAAGAAGCAGCATCTTCCTTCCATGGGTTCCAGACGACAACTTCATTGAAATTATCTCTGATAATTTGGAATTTTTTGTTCCCGTCATGATGAATTAAAATTGGTGTATCGGAACTACTAGCTGGCGTAAATATTTGATCAATCTTGGAAGTTATTTTTTGAGGTTCTGATGAACTAGTCCCAGAGCTATTTGGGGTCGAAGTCTTGTCGAGGTATGGAGATGACTCTAGGCCTGTTATTTCAACTGTTGATATGTCCTAATTCGGAAATTTTAGCTCAGTTCCACAACAGAAGATTGTCCTCACCTTAACTCGAAAATATGTATGCAGCAAGGCTTGAAAATCCCATGATTTTTCTCCTCCGTTCCTGACTACAAGGCTGGTTGTTAATCCATTTTTGGAGAGAGTCACGCTGTAGATTAATCCAAATGTATATGGCCAATTTTTTTTATTTTCTTCGGTCAGATTGGCTGGACTAAGGCCAAAGTCTAACTTAACACTGTCGTCACCGTCAGATTCAGAACTTGACTTGCCCAAAAAATCCCAATAAGATATCCGGGCGAAGCCATGTTGTGGTAACTGTGACGTGGAAGCATGAGTAGAATCTTTGCCAAATATCTATTGGAGTTTAGTTGTAGACCTCAGATAACCTCGACGAACAAACCGGGAAAACCAGCGGTAAGCCCCCCCGTACTGCCTTTTGGCCATTTAAATTGGCAGATTCGCTGAGCCATAATAGCTCTTGGCCATTTTTATCTCTCCAGCTGATAATTGTGGCTCCAAATAAAAGGATATCAATGCTCTCGCCGGTTGCTAGAGTTGCACTCACTCTTGAATTTGAGTGTGAGACACTAACTAATTCTTGAGTAATCGGACTAGTAGTAGTTGTTAAACAAGACGGTTTCTTGGGTCGGTCGACCATGGTGTGAAGATCGGAAACTACGAGTAATGGGTATTTTAATTCGAGAATCCGAGTCGGGAATGAATTTAGGTTGATATCTTTGGGAAAAGGTATTTGACTTGTTCTAGTGATCAATTCTCGGGGTTTTTGAAGAGATTACTCTGAAAGTCTGTAGTTCTTATGCATGTAGGTTGGCATAGGTCTTTATTTGAACTCTGGCTGGTATGTTCAAAGTTATACGAACCCTGTGGTCTGTGCTGTAAACTAGCATTAGCCGAGTTAATCATTGCCACAGGTGCAGCGTTCTGCAAGATGATGTCCACAGCTTTTCGTGCTTGCTGCTACTATTTAGAGAGCGGCGGCGTGTGAACGAGTTTGAGCTAGGTGACAATGCCCAGGAAACTTGAATCATTCCCATGTCAAATCATCGGCCGGCCGCCTCGGCCGCAGGCTGCATAGACTCGTTTATCTCGATAAATATCATTGACTAGCTCAGCCTCTCCTTTCGCATCCTACTTGTTCCACTGCGCCTTGCTTGACCCGCATGTTGGAAGCGGCAACACCGCTTAATTTGTGCGAAAGTCCAGAAATGTGCTAAAAACCATCATTTAACATATCCATAGTATTTGAAATACCCTCATTTACAAGGAATCTGGTAAACAATAATCTCCCCCAGTACTCCTTTGCAGAGTCATCGGCTTATATCGGGATAATGAAACAATATTCATTCCTACTTCATTACATTTAGCAAAAATCTACTGGGGCCTACTCAAGCAATGAAACCTCTATCCATTTTCTTAGTAACTACTCACTACAAAGTATCTCAGCTAGTTTTCGTTGAGTCCACAGGTACTTAAATCACAGCGAGGTCTTAGCAAAGGTGTACCGCCCCAAGCGCCTCCACAAGCTAGGTCAAGCCCCCATGTATAAATGACGAAGAGATGCAGAAAATATTCAGTGTCATATGTAACAGAATTTAATCTAATCCACCTATACTAGATCTTGCATGATTGGACCCACAAGAGACAAGTGTTTCATCCCTGCTCTAGCTCGCTTTCGTCAATTGACTTGGCAGGTCAGGAGCTTAAATTTTGTAAATTTCAAATTTACGTTCATATAGCTATGCTTTCGGTTTGTTTAGCAGTCTCATGAAATTATACGCTTCGTTTAATCTGCCGGTCTCAATGATCCGAAGGCAAGCAAGATAGTACGTTGTAGGAAATGCTCCGATAGGCCTGAGGTTGGTTTTATGCCTCAGGCATATAAATGGATGCAAATATTAACGTTTCAGCGGTCTCCACTAACTGAAGACATACACGTGTTAATCACCCATCGCTTCTGTAGAAGCAAACACATTCTATATACCTGTGATATCACAGAGATTGACCCCGTCATACCGATAGAGTAGTGTGCGGATTATCTATTCGCGATTTATGAGCTTAAGTTTACTGTCTAGTATTGAAAGGCTATGCTGAGCTGGAATGATGTACCATTAGGATCAAGGAATAGAAGGAGGTAGCTATGGCTTTAAGAGAAGTCTAGTGTTGTTGTTGTTTTATTGTACTACTTGAGTCTATGAGTATCTAGCACATTGGGCTCCTCTCTGACCCAGGCCACACCTTGTACAGTGCTCCTATCCTCTTTTGTTACTTGAAAGATCATTGATATATTCCCCTTGATGAATAGCCATTCAGCTCAGTGTTTACCCGTGGAATTCAGCCACCTTTTCCACGGAACCTTCTACCCAAAAAAAAAAAAAAAAAAAAAAAAAAAAAATGGTAGCAATGGAAACTGCGTGCGCGGGAAAAAGTCTCAGAAAACCTGCAGCCCCAGCCAGGCGATGCCCAGACACCGGGACCACATGAGGTGCGCATATTCATCTATATCTCCCTTCTTTGTAACAGTCGAGGCCGACTTGATCCAAAACACCATCTCCGTATCGGGTGCTGGGTACGCTCCGGAAACTCATCGGATGGCTTTTCCTCCGTGATCAAGGTTTGGTGATGAGTAGGGCTCTGACCCTAACATCTGATCTGATCGTGGTTAGCTTCATGATAATGGTGATAGGGGAATGTGTTGAGAGATGAAGACGATAGAGACCGCGAAAGCGATTGGGAATCCTCGTCGAAGTGAGGACTTTGATACTCAATCTCGGCTCTGCAGACTCTACAGTGAGAGCTGGAGGTTCGTAGGGGACTCCAATGAAAGGTGTTGAGAATAGTCCCCCTGAGAAGTCTAGTTCGTGAGTTATACTTTTAGGACTTTGATCAATGAAAGAACATGTACATACTCTCGAGTATTCTCAAGTATGTGAATAATGTGGAGATAGTTTAAACTTCCTATTGTATAAATTGCTTATATTTTGAAATTGATTTCATTATCCTGATTTGGCGCCCTGTAGGCTCATGCAGGTGTCTACAATCTATAATATTTGCACAGGAGGAAATTTTCATGGTATAAACCCCCCACACCTTTCTACTTGTTATCTTTAGTTTTCACATATTTTCTTCAGGAAGCGCAGTTACAATATAGTGCCATCCATGTAAACCAACTCGATCATATCTACCCACCCTAAGTATTATTCGACCTTTCATTTCCCTCAGTAGAATTTCGACCGCTTTTGTCATCTGGAATTGCTCTATCCGATCATGATTTAGAATCCACTGTGTTATCCTTTTGATGTCTCCAGGATTGTTTATCATCGCTTCGTAGGGCCGATCTTCGGCTTGTCTCTAGATCTCAGCTCTACCATTTGACCATTTGGGGCAGGACATAATCATGTGCTTGGGTTTCTGTGATTGGTAGCCACATGGACAATCTGGACTTCATAATTCGGGTACTTTTCTTCTGTGTAAATACGAGTTAAGCTCCATGTGCTCACTTCATATTTGCATCGCCAAACTGCTTTGGGCACTTATCAGGTTACGATATAGAAAGAATAGTGAGCCTTGAAAACTAAGTTTTTGCCGTCTAGACTCTCTACTTTAGTAAAATTTGGCTGCTCTCCAAGTTTCGGGATCTGCAGTTGCTAACTGTCGAGGCTTCTAAGTTTGTTTCTGCTTGGCCCAGGATTTCGCCCACTCTTGGTATGCCATAACTTTCACTATCTCTGTATGTGTATTTTTGGTTTGTTGTTGACCGCACATTCCCGTCCAGTTGGCAAGATCTATCCTGCTGTGAATTGTTCTAATATCATCTCTCCATTTTCCGGGCAGCTTGATTTTACTGCAGGCGAAATTGCTTATATTATTCACGTGACAGGACCTTCTTTGTGTATATGAATAAGGGGGTTTGTGCACGCTAGCGGATGTTCCAACATATCTCCTTGTCTAACTCAGAAGGGGAGGATGAGAGATATCCTTGTGCCAATACATACCATTGGGAATCTATTGAGAAATAACATGACATGCCAATGAGTGATGATCTAGGCCAATCATATCTCATGACGCATGTGCACATTATTCTAACGTGAACAGTTTATTGTAATGCAGTCATGTTCCTCCTTTCATGACAACAGCTAGTGCCATCTAGATTACACAGAAAACTCTTATCATTATTAGCAAGTTTAAGTAACCCAATTCTATTTGATGCAGGCAAGTTGTCATGTAGTCGTATCAAAGAGAAATCTCGATATCATGATGGATATGAAAGAGCCTTGGCACAATACGTTTTTGTAAACTTACTTGTGGTCAATGACCTCTTCAAATCTATTAGAATCAGAGTGAATTCCAGGCGCGTTAACTGAAATTACTCCTGTTTTATTTAATCTGCATTCTATTAGCGTCGTAAAACCAAATACAATCGGGTGTACCTTTCAAACAAAACGAAAAGCTTCTCTGCCTCTCTTTCTTTCTCTTCTTCAGTCATTTCCTCTATCTCCACGTTTTCTTCTTTTTCCAGTAGTTGTCCGGTAATGGGATTAACTTGGGAGCTTAAATCATCGTTACTACTGGCAGTTACAATGGAGGGGTTTTGAAGGCAATTTTCTGGTACTGGCACTTTATGCTTGAATAAAAAGCCTGATGCATAGCCATAGCCTAGGTTGTGAATGAAGGTTTTCGCGTCACAACCACTTAATTCAAATAATAGAGTTAAAATAGATTCTTGGATTTGAGGATTCACACTGTTAGAAGATAGACGGAGGAGTTGTGATGGGAGAGAATCGGTACGGCCAAGTATTTTTTCGCGGTCTTCCGTGGACGGTAAAAGTAGGCGTTGTAGGTGACTCTGCACAGTAGGAGGTGCACAGTCGTTAATCTTCCGAAGAAGAATAATTAAAGGAGGAACGTTTTGTTCCAAGGCTTGATCCTCGTAAGCCTGAAGACTCCTCTCAAGAATCCGAACGCAACAATCAATAGAAATTTCGGGCGAGCCTTCGGGAAATATTATTGTAGAATTCTTTTCCAGAGGCAAGTTCATTATTGCATTAATAATAGGTCCAACAAACGGGTCCATTGGATTTTTGACTGATATGGGCTGATTTATTAGAATTTCAAACAAATCTTTGAGAGCAGGAGAAAAATCGGTACTTTTTTGTGGGCAAAAATGCGTAATATTAAACATTAATTTGAGTGTCTCAGATAGAGCCATGCTTTCAGTTGAATCATTTGAGTATACCTTTTGTAGCTTTAAAATTTTTTCGGAATGCCTGCTTAGATTTGCACAGATACCGCGTGCAAGATCATGTTGACTGATTAATTTCTCCAGATCAATATTGGTATCGTAAGTCATCAAAAACAGAATACGAGAAATCAGGAATTCCGTTTCTTGACTATGCTTGCACAATCTATCACATGCAGTTTCCTCCAGGCCGAGATCCAAAAATATCTGTCTTGTTTCGGGCCGTAGCAACATCGCATTAGCTATACATCTGAGAGCAGCTTGAGAATCTGTATCAGACAAAGGGTTGAAAGCATAATGAGCTAGTGTTGAGATTCCCTTAGCATATTTAGTGTCTTTCCCAAAAAGAATAATGAAGAGTTATACTTGTTTCGTGTAGATAGGATCAGAATGGGTAGGATCTCGTCCATACACCTTAAGTTTTTCCAGATAGGTGCTTCGCTCTGCGTACGTGAGTAAAACTCCAATTTGGAATCAATGGATGCATACGCAGTGAGTCCAGGGTATGTTTGTGAATATCAGCTTCAAGAACGTCTATTATCTTTGTCACTTCATCAAGCTTTGCTGCTTATAATCAGCAATATGTGGCAATAGTAGTTATCTATTTCCTACAATATCTCTCTGAACCTGCTGATAGAGGTAATGATGCTGAGCTAGAAAACATACTTCTTGCCTCTTTAAAATATTAGACCTGTAGATAATTTAAAATGAGGCCGGCTGGATGGTGGAGGAAAGCTATGAATTGTCGTTGAGGTTTTTGTCTCAATCTCTTTGGCTTTTGGCCTTTGCCACAGTTGTGGATTAGTTATTCAGCCTGTTAAAATGGTACTCGAGATAGAACGATTAGGCGCAGAGTGTGACAATTTCGATTTGTGAAAGTAATTCAATTAATCCTTAGAATATTAAGCTAAAAAGAGACTTAAGAGGCTCTGACTGTCGCGACATCTGCCCCACACTACAAACAATGAACTAGGGTAACATAATGGACTTAGCGAAAATTCAGGTTTTTATGCCTCAGGCCACCCTAATCATTAGCATCGTAACAAATTGTCACTCCGAGATTATTGGTGACGGGCTTAAAGTTGAGCAATCTCTCATCACACTTCTGTAATCGTAGTGTTACCAACCATTGGTGCGATAAAAGGTTATTTTGCCTCATAGTCTTTAGCTGGGTCACTCAAGCAGATCTGGTGGTGCATACTTTAGGTGACATACTACCGCATGTTAGAAGCTGTCGCAGGTACCCTCATGAATACTGCCGATCCGGTAATGGCTATAACAAAGCCAGATTCATGCCAAACTCAAGGAATGCGAGCTATCGTCATGAATGTTGTCCGTTAGATCCGGGAATAAAATTTTATAAATATCAGTGAGTCACTAGCAACAATTCTGTTACCATCGCCGGTAAGTCCGATTACTTCACCTTCAAGAAGTTACAGTGCGAACCTCCAGCTCTCAGAAGCAGAGGATGACGGGGTGCCAAATTTAGATGTTGTGCACAGCGAGACTGATGAGCATTAGCCCAAAGCCCTCGATAAAATCATGACAGGCTGGGATCCGGTAGTTCCACTAGCAGGGCAGAAACGTGCTTATTCCCCAGAGCGAGAAACTATGCACACAAGAAGCGGTAGAGAAGTAGTGTGATACGACAACAAACGACTACACCATGGAAAAGTAGCGCTTGCACCAAACGAACCTAAGACATGGGCTGAAGCCATGTTCTCTTCTAAAGCGTCACAATTGAAAAACGTTGCAAACGAAGAATTCCGATCACTACAAGAAAAAGGTGTGATCAAAATAATACAGCATGACGAACTCCCATTAGGACGCAGACCAATGAAGTGCAAATGGGTACTCAAAAAGAAGTTTAGAGCAGATGGTAGTCTTTAAAGATACAAAGCTCGATGTACAGCCAAGGGATATACTCAGCGAGAAGGAGACGACTGCTATGAAATTTTCGCACCTACATCCAGGTCCAAAACTGGACGAATACTGCTAGCTTTAGCACACCAGTTTGGCTGGCACAGAAAGCAAGGTGATGTTCCAACAGCCTTCCTGGACCCAGACATCAATATTGATCTGTATATTGAGCTGCCTCAAGGATTTGAGACGGGTGGCCGCCTGTCGGAATATTTCCTATGGATTCTTTGTTTGAGGTAACTCAATAACAATTGTTTCATTCAATCGTATCTATCCTCATTTTGTGACGGAGCGCCAGGGCCTTAATGACCTTGAACACTCGTCACATGATATATGCTTACACAGCTATTACTAATTATTACCCATTTGTCATTACGTCTTCATAATCATTATTGCCACCCAAACTCCAGCATCCTTGTTTAATGCACATCCAAATAAAACTTGTGTCCTACTATTCGACACCGCCTCATACAACTTTGCAAGGGCCTATACAGACTTAAACAGGCGGCAGCACTATGGCATGATGACGTACAAGCTACCCTAGCCAAGCACGATCTTTCAACAATATCAGATATATGTCTCTATACAAATAAACAAAAGGACTTATTTGTTATGATGTACGTCAACAACTTCCAAGTTCTAGGACCTAACATCCAGAAAATAGATGAATGCCTACACTTCACAAAAAATACAAACTAAAAGCAGTCAACACTGATCTGTTTCTGGGAATCAACATATTGAACCCAAATATAGACACGCTATCACTTTTACAGGGTCGATATGCTCGCGCATTAATAGAGAGGCACGGCTTATCAGATTATAAACCAGCATTCTATGTACCCAATCGCCTCATGGGTCCTAATGAGACAATGTGCGAAGAGCATCAAAAGACGGAATACAACTCAATTGTTGGCTGCCAAGGGATGGAGTGGATTGCAGTATAGTATGGCCACGTGCTATCACACGTCTGACGTGCAATTCACGATGTATATATATTTACATTGTGAATTGCGCACAGGGCCAAATAAGGGCTCGATGGGTTCCGAGCCACACATCCATAATTGGAAGTGAAGCCGCAGATAAAGCTGCGAAAGATGGCTGCCATTTTCCAACTTCAGATAACCTATTTTTCTCATATGCAGGTCTGAAGCGCTGGGCAAATAAGTCCACAATGCAAGCCACTGGCAAAAAATGGAGAAAATATCTCCCCCAGCACATAAGCTATGAGAAACCGGGAATTATATCAGCTCCCTCTAGGCCTAAATAACTTACCCTTCCGCATGCCACTCTAGGCCGTATCCTAGCAGCTAGATCTGGACATGGCAATTTTGCAAACTACCACCAGAATGCACCAAAATTGTCACAGGCTCATACCTGGTTATCATTAGGCTGCTGCCTAACCAATAAGGCTTGAACTCTTCCAACTCTTCCAACCATATTAAACATCATACATGTCATGAACCCCTCCACGACTCATTAGACCCAAGTATAGGCCTTGGCCCAGTTCATGCAAATCTATTCTTAAATGACAAATTTAGATTGCAGACAGGACGACTCGAACACCAGTCGTGAGTCATCTAAGCCACATTCATCATAACTATTTTAATAACTAAAATTACTAACATTAAAATGAAGCTGAATTAAAATAGACAGAGATGCTGGTGTTTGTCGGAGGACAGGTCATGATCTATTTTGAGAATGGTATGGAATGAGGGAACGAGATCATAGTCTTGTAAATAAATAGGAGGCTTTCAGTCATGTCTCTGCTCGTTACTTTAAGATTTTCATTTGTATCTAGCTCTGAGTTCAGTTTGAATAAAACGCCACTTTAAGACCGTCACAAAAATACTGCCAATGTGGCCATAGAAAGGCATCACTACATTTTTTCTTCTGTGTCACTGTAAAGGAAGATAGATCAATAAGGTCAAATCTGGTGGAATAGATTGTCTACTGTCATAGTCTAAGCATAGGCACTTGGGCAACCTTATGGTTAGAGGTAGTTTTAATTTCAATCTATGGTGAACTACAGATTGAAGAGGATAATAACAGTTACTTTATACATGATTATTATCCCAGCCAATGACACAGATTTCTATCCGTATATCTGTATTCCCTACTCATATCCCCTACTTGTATCACATTCTTGTGCCCCATCCCCGGATGTGTTACAATATTAGTATTGCCACTTATAAGGCCCTCCTTGTTTCATGCTAAGCCTGCGTTAGACAGCGCAAGCTACAAGCAATTACCGGCTTACAAGCCGTCACATCTACAAAGGGTGAACAGAACTCTTGCTGAGATTTGTTAAGCTATATACAGAATGAGTGACAGGTTAACATCATAACGTCACGTGGCAAAAAAATACATCTCATTCCTTAACATATGGTCCTGTCCCACTCCCTAACTTACTTAATTTGGCAATAATTTTTTCAAAGAATTAGTTGCTCTCTTCTTTGCCGTCTCAATCTCTGGTTTAGTCAGCTTTCACTTGTCAGGGAAGCACCTTTCGAACTCTTGAATTGAAGTTGTTGCATTAACAACGTTCTGGAGAGGCTCCCATGTCTTATCTTCAGGGTTTTGGCCTTGCCATAAAATTAAAAAGAAAAATTTCCTTTTCCCTCTGCTCTGCTTTGAGTCAAGTATGGCTTTGATAGCAAATACCTTTTCGCAGGACTTGTCAAATGTGATGGGTGGTGGTGGGGGGTTGGTTTGCCGAGGGAGAGGATTTTTGGCGCTGGTTTTAGTAGACTAGTGTGAAAAACATTATATAAGTTCCTATGTTCAAAGGGGAGTCCTAGCTGGTACGCATGAAATTGATAATTTTTGTTATTGGAAATGGTAAAATGTATTTGCAGTCAAGCTTTTGGATTGGTCTTTGTCATAGGCTAGGGCCTAAGGCATCTAAGGCTAGGTTATAGATGAACGAGCTAGGGCTGTTTAGGCAACATGGGATCTGCCCTGTTTGATCATAAGCACTGACCACATTCCCATGTATATAGGGGAGACCATTCCCACTCTAACTTCTCTCTTTAGTTCACAATCTTCAACACAGCCTACACTACAATTTGAATACAATTCTACTTCCAAATTTTACAGACTTGATGTAGTGATATTACGAGCATCCAAGAAAACTTTGGCACCAATTCAGTGGGCTGGAGCTGGGGAGCGGTTGGTATTAGTAGCTTTCCCTTGTTTTTCTCTGGCATGCGTTAGGTTTATACGTAGCCAACCAAGAGCTTCCGCCATTTTGGAGGCGAAAGTGTTGCCTGCAATGATTTGTTCACGGAGATGTTTTGAAGTTACCCTTAGAGTAGGACATGGAGGGCTAAAGCTCATACGCAGGTGAAAACCTTTGTTGGCAAAGAAAGGAGAGACTTTAGTGGAATTGTTGATTGCATTATTAGCCGCAAACTCAGCCATTGGTAGCCACTTGTAGACGTCACTTTGAGAGTAATCTATATATTGCCTGAGATACTGTTCCATGAAGGCATTGGCGCTCTCTGTTTGACAATCTGTTTCGTGGCAGTAGGCTGTCAAAAGTGAGACGTTAATATGAAGGCAGTGGCAGACTGCTTTCCAGAACTCAGCAATAAATAGTGGCCCACATTGAGACACAATAGAGTCACATATTCCATGAAGTCACCAGACGCCACAGACGAAAAGCTTTGCAAGCTCCCTTGCTTTCATTTTGGTATGACAAGGAGTGTAATGTTGTTCTTTAGTTAAGCAGTCAACAACAACCAT